AGTGAAAATGCCCAGAATTAGGAATGTGTTGTTTAAGGAATATCAAAGAGGCTAGTGGCACTGGATCACAGAGTATATAATTGGAAAAGTAAGGTATAAATAGCAGACAGAAATGAGGAACGGGGGGTGTCTATAATGTGAAGGGCTTTTAATACCAACAGAAGATTTTATATTTGATCCTAGAAATGATATGGAGAAACTGGAGTTTATTGATTAGTGGGTTTATTGCCAGACATTTTAACAGCTGAACAAAGAATGGATTGGAATGGGGAAAGACTTAAGGCAGGGAGCCCAACCAGCAGCTATCTCAATAGTCCAGGCATGAGGTGATGAGGGCCTGCAACAAAGTGGTTACAGTGTTAAAAGAGAAAAAAGGGAATGTATGCAAGTGATGTTACAAAAGTTAAATGGACAGTCTTTGGCAACAGATTGGATACAGAGTGAGAGTGAGGATTCAAAGATGACATCTAGGTTGTGAGCCTGGATAACTGGGATAACTGGTGCTACCCTCAATTAACAAGGAAGTCTGAAAGAAGAAAAGGTTTTGGGGGAAAGAGAATGAGTTCAGTTTTGGACAAATTGAGTTCAAAGCATCTACAGGACCTTCAGGTTGAGATGTCTGAAAGACAGAGACTAGAGGTTGGTAGAGAGGTTTTAATCTATATAAGTAGTTTTGAGAATCATCAGTATAGAGCTAGTAATTGAATCTCTAGGAGCTGATGAGATCAAGTGAAATAGTATAGAGGGAAAAGAGAAGAAGGCCCTGGACAGAGCCCTATGGGACACCATGGAAAGTGGGTATGACATGAATAAAGATCCAGCAAAGGAGACTGAGAAGAAATGGTAGGAGACAAGAGTAGGTAGGAGGAGAGGGCAGTGTCCTAAAAATCTAGAAAGGAGAATCAAAGAGTGATCACCAGCATTAAAGGCTACCAAAAGGTCAAGGAGGATGAGGATTGAAAAGGCCATTAGATTTGGAAATTAAAAGATCATTTATACATTTTTCTTAATTTTTAATTCTTTCTAGTCAGCAAAGATCTACCCTCTCTGCGTGCCATTCCCCTGCACCTCAATTGAGAATAAAAGAAAAATAAAATCCTTGTTAGTCAAGCAAAACAAATTTCCACATTGGCCATGTCTTAAAGAAAAAAAAAAGTGTGTATGTATATAAACACAAATATACATACACATATATAAATGTATGTATCTCTCCTTTCTCTTTTATACATATATATCTACATGAATGAATGATTTCTTTGTTGGTTTTCTAGAATCACGTTTGGTCATTATGGTCATTAGAGTTCCTAAATCTTTCAAAGCTGTTTGTCTCTACAAACCTAATTGCAGAGAGTTAAGAAGAGAGTGAGAGTCAAGGAAGTGAAGGCACCTACTATTGATAGCCTTCTCAAGGCCTTTAGCCCACAAAAGGCAAGTTAGATATGGGATGATAATGGGGATGCATCACTCAAGTGGGAGTTTTTTGATGGGAGAAATATGGGCATGTTTGTAGGCAGTAGGGAAGGAACCAGTAGACAGAGACTGAATATAAGTGAGAATCAGGATGATAGAGAGGCAATCCATGGTATAGAATGGGATCACTTGTGCACATAGAAGGGTTTGCCTTGGCAAGAAGGGCCACCTCTTCATCTGAGGCAGGCATGAAGAAGACAGTGGTAGAAGACATATTGTACTGTGAAAAGAGGAGCAGGGAAAAAGAGAGGAGATCAGGTTTTCAGCTGACACTTAAGAGTATAATAAGGAGATATAACATGTATAAAAAATAAATATTATACAAGATAAAATGTGACATGGGCAAAGAAAAAAGCCTGGTAAGTCCTCTAAGAAAATGCAAGGAAGGCAAGAACACTTTCAGCTCAGGGGATTAGGAACAACTTTCTGGAGGTGGCAGCTATCACAGGTCTTTGAGAAAGAAGCATCACTAGATGCTGAGGAACATTTCAAGTATCTACATGGGTTCATGGAGGCAAATAGAAGTGCATGTTGGTAAAGGATAGCTAGTAGTCTGATGTAGTTGGAATATGAATGCATTTGGGGATGAGAATGAAATAAGGTTGGAAAAATAGGCTGGAACTGGTGAAAATCAAGAGAAGTTGTGTCAAAGTACTTTACAAGCTATATATATATATATACATACATTCTTTAAAATAAAAGATTTTATTGTTGTTATCAGAGTTATAGTTTTTGTTTCTGTTTTACAGTGGAATATCTTTTAAAAATATTAACATTAAAAATATAAACTCCAAGTTTTGGGTTTGTTTTAATAGGTGAATGTTTATGTGCTGGGGAAAACATTTCTTCTTTTGGCCAGAGAACTCTGCATCAATGCTCCAGCAATAGGTATGTTTTTGTTGTCTGAGTATTTGGACAGTGCTTGTTTTCTGAAAGAGTACTGGTATTTTTTGAAGCCAGAGAATAAAGTGCCATGGTCTTTGAAGAAATAGAAGGGGTAGGGAAGGAGCACTTGAAAATCCAGAGATTTCCCAGGTAAGGAAATTTTGTAAAACTATAAAAAGCCCATTATAATTAAGACCTACTTTGGGTAAAGAAACGAGTATTGTTCAAGGCTACTAGCTCAGATATGGGTTTTGGGAGATGATCATTCCCTTTGAAGGCAATAGGCAATATGTGGGGAAGATGCATATCTTAGAGACTCTTGTGCTATATAAAATTTTCTGTGGTTACTATCTCGAATAGAAGGTTGTGGAGTCCTTTCCCATTCAAACCCAACTCATGTATTTTTTCAGATGAATATTGCTACTTTTAATCACTACTTTTAATCAGTCATGTGTGTGTGTTTCTTCTAGAATCTTTTTATGTCAAAGGTCTATATCACTTAGCCATTGGGAAGGAAAGAAACTGGAGGTAGTTTTACCTCACTCTTCATTTGAGAACTAAATGTGCCCTTTAATTTTTATGCCAACATTGTCTTTGAGATAACTGTTCATAAATTACATCCATTGCTTAGGCCTTTATTGGGCAAAACCTAGATCAGGCACTCAGTTATTAACACCAACTTAATGTTGTAGTCAGAGCTATCATTTTACCTAGATAAGGATCACCGTATGTCTGGTTACTAAGGAAAGAGATCAGGAGTCTTATGTCACAGAAATAAGAACTCTTTTTAGAAGGTTATTTATGATTAGTTGCCTAATGCTTAGTGCAAAACAAGCAAATGAATTGCTCACATTTTGATTTTCAGTCCTGACCTATATAGAAAGATAAAATTTGCTAATCTGCAAAGATTTTAGACTAGAAGGCATCTTGGAAATCATCTAATACAACCCCTTCATTTTACAGACCAGACCCAGAGGGATAAAGTCACTTATATAAAGTTATATAGGTGGCAGAGCTGGTATTTGAACCCAGATTCTCAGATTCCAAATCTAATACTTTCCCTGTACCATAGTGCCTTCTACCTAGTCAATAACTTCTGATGATACTTTGCATGTACTTTTTCTGAAATAGTGGTATGTAGGAGCTTGTAGAGGGATGGAAAGAGTAGTAAGACTGAGGTATGACTGGGAGGAATGGGAATGAGGGGAAGGAATAATAACCAGAAGACAGAACTGAGGGCATCAGTATTACAGAGGTAGGTTTCAGCAAGACCCCAGAAAAGCTGTGGCATGGGTATATTCAAGTAACTGAGACATCTGTGGTCAAATTTCATGAGCCCTCTAGGCCATCCGTCAGCCCAGAGCCCAGGAGGGACCAGGGATACTGATAAAAGCATCTGTTAAAGCAATCTGATGTCTCTGGACTCATGTCCTCTACAGTCCTTTCCTGTTAGAGATTTCTAAGTCAGGCAGTGTGCACCAGGGGACCATGACATTGTCTTTCCAAAACGAATTAACTGCTTCACAATACAAAATAGCATGAAAGGTAACAGATTGAGAACTTTGGAAACCAAATTTTAATTTAATATTAATATATGCTTAACAAACTCTCAGTATCACTTATCAAAACATTTTAACTATTGGACTCATATTGCCAGCTATCTACTCTATCATTGTTATAATTATTTAATTTCAAATTTTCTGTGACAGAAGCAACAAGATTAGTGGTGAAAAGGATACTAGAAACAATTTTTAGCTGCATTTAGGACCCACCTTTTTAAGCAGGCACAGAAGACTGGACATTATATAGAAATAGATTTTCTATATTAAAAGTAGAATTACTTTTCCTTTTAACTGGTTATAAATTTCTGTTCATTTTATAGCCACTTCATGTGTTTTTATTCTCAGTACTTAGTACATTATAAAGCACATAGTAGGCCCTTATAAATTGTTGTTGACTTAACATCTTTAAAAAATGACACCTGGGATTTTTCTCCATTCTTTTGGTTCATGAGGATGGTTTTATCAGTTTTTCACTTGTATTTGAAATTTGGCAATGTACCATCATTGAGGCAACATGCTGAAGTAGATACAGAGCTGGCCTAGAAGCCAAGAGCTTTGTTCAAGTTCTGCCTCAGACATATATGGGCTGTGTGATCTTGGGCAAGTCATGTAACATCCCACTACACTAAGCCAGTGATGTCAAACTCAAATAGAAATGGAGGCCATTAAACCCTATATATATTTACATTATCCATGTTTTGTTGTATTTTTAAATTTATCTTGTTAAATATTTCCCAATTCCATTTTAATCTGGTTCTGTCCAGACTCCTTGTAGTCCATGTGTGTTTGACACCTCTGCTCTAAAGTCTTTAAAATTATAAGTTGCAGAAAAGGCGCTAACTTGTATTAATAAATGGAGGTATAATACTGACTTGGCACTTTACTATACTAATGAAAGTATAGGTCCATTCCCTGTTTCTTTCTCTACCATCAGGTTTGGTATCCCAAGCCACTAAATTTTATTATATAAAATAAATTTCTTTTTAAAAATACATTTTAATTGAAATCTTTTGTTTTTATGTAATTTGTATCTTCCCCCTCCCAGAAGACATTCCTGAACGATACATTGGAAACATCTGACAATATTTGGAATGTTCCACATCTTTGGGCTTCATCTTTGCAAAGAAGATTATGTCTCTTCTTTGGACTAAGCTTGTTCCTTATAATTTTAAGTGACAGATTTTCAAAACAAATATAAGATTTTGTTATTAAATTATATTATTTAAAATATTACTTTTTCCATAGCTCTAGAGTACTATACTGTATAAAAAACTAAGCTCTTGGAGAATTTAGTTCATGTTCATGTTCTAAATTATATTATTATAAATAAGGTATTTTTACATCAGTGGCCATAGAACCCTGTTATCTCAATGAGGGAATTTGGGGAACATCTTTTGCCTTTTGAAGTTGACATAGAACAAGCATACTTTTCCACAACCATTTCTTAATATTATTTACTGTTAGATACTGACTGGATGGTTTATTGTGGTTAAATTAGAATATGTTACTCTTCAAATGGGTACCACTGAATTTTGTTTGATACATTAATTCTTCTAAAGATGATTGATTCTTCTTTAGAAGAAAGCTCAGGGATATCAGCAAATGAACCTGAGATTGTGAATGTAATAAAAGTCTGTCATCTTCTTCTACATCCCTTTAAGTCAAAGCAACCCAGACAACTTTGGAAAATCAAAGCAGCATCTTTCATATTAGAAATGAAAATCTGATGGTTGGGCAGGATCTTGTATCTTGTATCTTTTTTTGATAGAGAGCTGGAAGAGACCCCAAGGGCCACTTAATTTCAGTGGCTTATTTGAATTTGTTGATTTATATGCTTTGAAACTAGTAGGACATGAACCACAAAGGAATAAAAAAAATGAATGAATGTACAGATTTTTAGGGTAAAGAAAAAATGTTTTATATTTCACAGGTTCGTAAACAGCTCTATTTCAGAACATTTTTTCAAAGTCAGCCATAATCTGCAAGTTAGTTGTCTACATATAGAATAAATAAAATAGGATTAAATCCAAGAGCATTCTTTCACTTAGTCTGAGAGGCTGCTATTTTAAGAGTAATGTAATAGCTGAACATGAAACAGCTGTAGAATTTTCTGGTTTTGAACAAATCCCTTTCATGTGCATAGCAGTATTGGAATACAATCCTCATAAACTGTTTCACGCATAGAAAATAAGCTCTGGAATCTGTCCTCCTTGGACCCCAGTGCCATTGGTACTGTCTGAGGAGCACTGGAATTGAAATGTCACTTTGCCACACTGAACTTCAGTCATTCCCTCCTGTCCAAAGTAACTAAGTTCATTACCATCCAAGATGGCACTAACATTGTAGAATGTGTCTTGTTCAATTTGAACTGGATGTTCAAACCAGACTGAAAATGTATTGCTGGATCCATCTGAGAGGAACTTTGTCAGATTATGAGCAAGAACAGCATTTAGCCGTTTAAGTTCAATTTTTACACTGTACTCAGCTTTCCCACAGCTTGATCCGTATAATCCGAGTCCTGCAATAAATACCCTTTTGTCTACTGCAAACTGGATGCTGTCACATCGTCCACGGTACCTCCACTGGTTGCTCCGATATGCAGATGATTGAAATCGGTGGCATCTCTGAGGGGCAAGGCCTTTCCTTTTTGTCAGTGGAAACTCCAACTGTGGTTTCTTGGTAGCTGTGTACCACAGGAATATGCTGCGTGTTTCTTCCAGGGTTAGAATATCTGATTGAGCAGCACCATTGGCGAACTCCTCCAGTGTCATAGTTGGAATTCGTACTAAAAATAAAACTCTTCCCAATACTTTCCTCTTATTTCTTGGTGTAATTGGCAAACCTTCTCTTTTGCATTCAGCTTCTGCCCAGTTCAGAACAGCTTCAAAGATAACTACCTCCTTAGTGTTTAGTGATTCCCTGCTCAGGATAATCTCTAATGTTTGTTGATCTATTTCACAAAAGCCCTCTGACCTTAATGCCATCTCTGCTTGAGCATCGATCACTTCCCAGCAACGCTGGGTCAGTTCTGGTTCCTCAAAAAGTCTGCTTTGGGACAGCAAAACACAAGCATTTTTCGCCTCTAAACTAGTCTCTAGAAAATGGACACAAGCTTTTGCTAAAGCTGGAACAATATACTTCTTGGCAGCGTAGAGAGTTGCAAGCACAGTGTCAGCTTCCAGGTCAATTTCATCACTATACATGTACCTAGTCAGAGTAAAACAGATTTAAGAAGGCACTGGCAGGGGGTGGGGAAGGTTTTATATACTCTTTTAAATGCTACATTTAAATAAGCTATATTATTTAAATGCTATGCTATTTTACATGCTATTTTAAATAGCAGAGTATACATTCACTAGAAAAAGTTAACCTTTTAGAATTTGGGAGATTAGCAATTTACCAGGTCAATTGTTATCCATAGTGGATTTACCCTGCAGTTTTACAAACAGTATTGATTTCATAAGTCCTTAGTGTACTGCCTTTCCTCTAATGAGCACTCAGTATACTTTAATTGATGATGATGCAGCCTAAGTCCCTGTAACCATTTTGTAATTTCAAGGCAAGACTTACTTTAACAGGATGAGAAAAGCTGCAGGCTCCACATCAGGTATATGGATTTCAGATTTGACTTCTGCAAGATCACCATAAAACATGGCATAGAAGACAGAGCTGCCAACTGCCAGCACATACTGTGAAGAAAAACATCTTGTCGGTAAACAGCTGTGTTCAATCTAATTAAAATCACTAGTCACTAAAGACTACAGAGAACTGTGAATACCTCCATCTAAGCAAATTTGGCTTTGGTGGCTCAGGGTAATTAAGATGTATGGAAGCAATTTCACATTATATGAAATTACATTCTAAAAGGTTCCAGGTTTTCTCTAGTGGTTCACATGGAGGAAAACAGTTCTACAAACCTTATGAGCAGGAACTCGCTTTGATGCTTCCAGAGGGCCAATGATAAAGTGTACATCAGCCATGAGTTCATTATTGAACATCATTGCATTCCTGGAAATTGCAGAGAAAAAAAAATGCTTAGGTCTGCAGCTTAACAAACATTTAGCATACAGTGTGATTTTTCTCAACCTTCTCACTGGATGATACATGAACCTGGACAGAAGCAGATGCTAGACCTTCAAATTAGTTAAAGGAAGAAGCCAGAGAACATCTTCATCCCATTCTCATTTTTTTGCAAATGAAACCACCAGAGATTGTGGTGAAGCTGCTATGGACATCAAACCACTGCTCAGTGACACAGCTTCTCCCCCAGTTTTAGACAATCCCCTCTAGTAAAATAATTTCCCAGTGAGGAGTAAGGTCTGCCAGAGTCTAAATACATCTGATCTGGCTTCTTACCTCTCTCGGAGAGTGGGGTAGAATGACTGCCAGTTGGTACTCTCGAAGTTGTTGTTAAGATTTTGCACTTGTGCTGGTGGTGGTGATTGGGCTGTTTGATGAAGTTGAAGGGAGCTATTCTTGGTACTAGCTGCAGTGACTGTGGTGGCAGTGGTAGTGGAATTACTGTTTGTGATGTTGGTATTAGCACTGGTAGAGTAAAGTTCTGCAGCCATCTTCTGCAGGGACAAGGGCCCTACCTCATAGCATACTGGCACCTTGCCATTAGCTATCACATTCTTTTTGGACTCCTTCAAGGTTACTGGAAGGAAGAAAAAAGAAAGTAAAATACTGCATGATTCTGACACTGAAGTAACTTGGGGCCAGAAGCATGAATGAGAGCTTGCTACTGGGAGGGCCTCTATAGAACAAAATAACCTCGGGCAGAAGAGCTGATGACCAGTGCTCACCTCTGTTTGTGTAGGGCCAAGCTTCAGGCCTGGGGCAGGGTGCCCAAAGAAGTGGAGCCCTCCAGGGATGATTGCAAATAGTCCAGTAGCAGCAGCTGTACAAATCCAGAGCCCTTCGTAGCTGAGAAGGCAGGCACCTTGCCTGCCCCTCAGCTAAGCACTAGACTCAGTTCCAGGGATCAGTTTTTGGTGGGTTTTTTGGACCCAAACACCGAGACCCTGGGGGAGAGCTGCAAATTGGCCTCAAATCAAAAAGGGCCAAGCACAGATTAATCCCCGTTTAGTTTCCAGGCTCGAAATTCCTGGGCTGTGAAAACTGCTGCGCATCCCCTGTTGGCGCGCACCCTCCGGCATAGCTGTAGATTCCGTGGGCAGAGTTGGTAGCCGGGCGCAGGGCGGGGCTGTCCAGAACCGGAGCTAGGAGGGCCACAGAGCGCGTTTTTTGCCTTCGGCCATTAGGGTCACTTCAGCACTTATTTGTCCCGGCAACTTCGTAGAGGGTGCTGGGGGGGCTGGAGGTAGAGCTATTTGTCATTCAGTAGGCGCTGACGAAGTCCAGTTCTGGCACCTTCCCCCTCCCCCGCCCTTTTTCCTCCTCTTCCCTCCCTTCCTCCCAGTTCTCTTCCCTCCCTCCTTCCTTTCTCCTCCTCTTGAGCCGCCCTAATAATCGCCAGCCTTGGTACACGTCAGCAGTAGCATCTCCAATGGAAGGAGCTGATGGGCCCAGGCTCCCCCCATTTTCCTTCTCCCTTGCCCAACCCAGACAATATGTCATTCTCCCCGCTTGTCGCCCATTCCCCACTCCCCACTGCTCCTTGGGGAAGAGGGGGTCCCCACGGAGGTGGGATGCCACCGTGGGGCTCCTATTTTAGGAAGGGAGATTGATTGGAGAGGCCAGAGGCCCTAGAGGCCAAAGGGCCTGTGGGCGATGCGTCTGTTCTCTTTGAACCCCTCTTCAAGCCCTCCCCAGGCCACCTCGGCTGTGGAAGCTGACACAGCTCAGGGGCAAAGGAAGGAATGGTTGCACCTTGGGCATGGGCAGAGCAGGGGAGCTCAGCCCTCGGGAGTGCAGGGGGCTAAGGGCGGTGGCGCTCCCTGTGGCCCCCCCCAACACACACCCTCCGCTTTTTTATTACTCCGTGTCTGGGACTTCAGGCTGTAAGATCTCCCGCCCGGTGCCCTTTCCCTGCCCCAGGAGGACGTGGGGTCATACCTGGGCTCTTAGCCTTCTCTCCTTCCTTCGCAGGCTGGGAAAGTTTGCACAGAAAGCTCCCTGGTGGAGTCAGAAGCCATGATTACGGAGCTGGGAGGGGAGGGGCTTGGGGCTGCTGCGCTTCCCTGCCCGGCCCAGCCTGGCCCCTCTGCTGGCCTGGGCCCGCCCGCCTGCTGGGCCGAGCGGGGGCGCTCCTTCCCTGCCTGCTGCCCGCGCGGACAGCCGCCTCGGGCCCTGCGCGGCCTCCTAAATCACAGCCGGGGATCTGGCACCCCGAAAAGCTGCCCCAGATTGAGGCTTCCGGAAGAAAAGAAAAAAAAAGGAACTTTGATGGCGATTGTGGCTTTTGGGCCCAGTCTCCGGTAGGGAGGAAAGCTGAAGTGGCCCTCCCCCCACCCCCACCTCTTCTAACTTTGCTGAGGAGTTCATCTGAGCATGCACGGAAGACTGCAGCCCACCCGCAAGAGCTCTTATGTTCCTTGCTGGTGTATATCATGCTTCTCTTTTCTATTCTTGATGGGAAGTGTGTTTTCCTGGTGATAAAAAGAATACAGTACCAAACCCCTAATATCAGGATTTCAATATTTTGTGTATTTATAAGGCCTGGCAGTGCTAGTGCTCCTACAGGAATAGGAGTTGTCCCTGTTAGAGCAAATTTAAGTGAAGGATCAGGCACTCCTAGGAGTGGGTTGCAGTAGAAATCTTTGTCTCTCTGGGAGGAACTTTGGTTCAGCATTTGAATTTCAGTCTCTAATCCTGACAGAAATCCTGTTGGTATTTGTGGACCAAGACTCCTCCCAACTGTTTTGCCTTTTTCTAGCTTCACCTTTTACCTCTGATTATATTTTCTTTTCCTTCAGCTTTGAATTGAAGTGCCATGACCACAGAGAAAGATATTTCTGGTAGTTTCGCTTCTTTGAGATTGTTCTTTGGGGCCATTAATGGGGAGGAAAGATGTAAAGGGTTAAAAACTGAGTTCTTGAAAAACATGTATTGAGAAATTAAAAATACACACTTTAGAAAACCTGACTCCCTTTCACAAGAAATAAAATTGCCAGGGTTTAACTCCCATGTTTTATGTTTGTAGTGGGATCTTCCCACAGTTAAACAATGAAAACAATTTTTAAAAATTAGCAAGGAGTACCTTATTTTCTAACTGTCCGACTCCTTTATTTTGAATGTGAAATGAATAATAAAATTCTATTGCATAGGAATCCAAGAGGAGTTATATTGTAGTGAGGAAGCTAGGAGGCCCAAGTCTGAGTTTACTTCCATAATTTAGGTCTTAACAGTTTGCTCTGTACATGTTTTATATCTGCAACCTTAAATTCTTCTGGATTCAAAATACTAGTCATTTAATTTGGATTCTTCATAGGATGATAAATTTAGAGGTGGGAAGGTCTTTAGAAGCCATAAAGTCAAATATCCTCATTTTACAGATAAGGTTCCAAGCAAGTTGGCCCAGTGCACATATCAGTCTATAAGCATTTATGAAGTACCTACTATGTGCCAAGCACTGTGGTAAGGGGTTAGGGATACAAACAAAGGCAAAAGATAGACCCTACTCTCAAAAAGTTCACAGTTTAATGGGGGCTTGGAATCAAGTTGAATCAAGAAGACCTGAATGCCGATACTTTTTCAGACATGTTTCCCATGCCTGGATTATGTTCCCTCCTCATCTCTGACTCCTGCCTTCCCTGGATTACTTCAAATCCCAGCTAAAATCCCATCTACAGGAAGCCTTTCCTGATTCCCCCTTAATGCTAGTGCCTTCCCTTTATTATCTCCAATTTATCCTCTATGTATCTTGTTTGTACATAGTTATTTGCTGTGCTAAAGTTCTATCTTGTTCTGATCCCTTGATCACCCCTTCCACTTATAATCAGTAAATAAGTTTTACCAGGAAATAAGATCCCAAAAAGGAACCTGAAAGTCACCGACATACCATCCCAAAAATAAAAGGGGCATAATTTACAAATTTTATCATGTATTAACTGAAATTCATATTCTAGTAACATGCTGAATCAGGAGAAACCATATAAGTGCTGCTTGTCGGGCCTTTGATATAAAAATTTAAGAGAAAAATCCAGATTTTCTCAGGTCCAGACAAGCAGAACATCAAAAAGGTGCTAATAATTTTGAAGTTTTACCCATAACTTTGAGATTATTTGGATATGTTAATGAACTAAACATGAGGTAGGACAGATTGAGGTTGATGTTTCCCTCCCAAAAAACTCTATAAAAATGAGACCTCAAACTTCTGCATACCACCTCCCCCCATTCCCAGCATTCTTCTATCTCCATGCTGCCTAGTATCTGCCTCTCCCCCTCCTCATTTTCTTTCCCAACTGCCTCTCTAAACCATTCTATTCCCTGTCCCAACACCACTGACTGCCTTTGTATCCCCTTCCCACTGCTTGTCTCTGTGCCTTATTAAAGTGTGGTAGCTGCTCTATTTCCTGCTGCCAATTGTGGTCTTTTCCAGCAAGTACCCAAAGAACCAGGTATGTCTGCCCCCATTTCAGAATTTTATAATTTCATGAATTAATTTTCAGTTCAGTTGCATATTTGTCTCCCCCATTAAACTGTGAGCTTTTTGAGAGTAGGGTCTATCTTTTGCCTTTGTTTGTATCCCTAGCCCCTTACCACAGTGCTTGGCACATAGTAGGTACTTCATAAATGCTTATAGACTGACACGTAATAGCAGTGTGCATTGGGCCAACTTGCTTGGAACCTTATCTGTAAAATGAGGATATTTGACTTTATGGCTTCTAAAGACCTTCCTACCTCTAAATTTATCATCCTATGAAGAATCCAAATTAAATGACTAGTATTTTGAATCCAGAAGAATTTAAGGTTGCAGATATAAAACATGTACAGAACAAACTGTTAAGACCTAAATTATGGAAGTAAACTCAGACTTAAAAATATCTAAAGTTTATACAGTAGTTGAGTTGCTTTGATAGTTTCTTGGAACTTTGTATTTTTAAGAGCTTTGTAACTAAGTTTTGTAACTGTTGTCATTAATAATATCTTGCATTACTTCAAGATGTTCACAGGTGTTAAATTTGTATATATTCAGCACTCCAGATTTCTTATCTTCTGTTATTTCCGTTAAACTATTGATTTAAAAGAAAGGTAAAAGAAATCTATTAGTCACCAAGAAATATTTGTTACAATGATGACTGTATTCTATCCCTTCTTTTAGCTTTCACTGTAGGGCCTTAAACACATCTGATGGCAGAAAACCTCAGTAACTAGAAGATACCCAGTAACCATTCATGCCTTCTTATCCTATGCTATATTCATGTCCTTCCATTAAACTCTCCATAGGATTAACCAGTTTGTTAGAGAATTTCTCTTAGAACTAGGTAGTTTTTATTAGAAATTCTTTTTTCTAGAACTGGGGGAGGGGGAGGTTGTTTGTTTTGTTTTGTTTTGTTTTTTAGGTGTTGTCTCTCCTCCCTACAAATGCCTTTTATCTCTGGATGGAATTTGCTTGGCTGCCTCTAGTTACTTTAGATCACAAGGTCTGGGAGTCTGGTGGCCTGGCCTTGATTTCTAGGTATGCTACTTACTAGTTTTATGACCTTGGAAGATTCACTTCTGTGATTCTGTATATTTCCTTTAAACATTAAGCCTTCTGATTTTACAAAGAAAGTTTAATCCAGTCTAGGAGCCATGATTAGGACTGACTAGTATCTATGGGTGCCCTAATATATAGGTAGAGGAGAAGGGAGATCAAAGAGGAACAAGAAGATGAAGCAAAGAGATAGGAGAGAGAAGGGAAAAAAGGAAAGGTGGTGCCCATGGTAGTGGAAGAAATTACTTCATTATAATTACTTTCTTCCCTTAGAAATATCAATACCCATAAGAAGATGATTTCTCCTGATCATGCCTAAGCTAGACTTAGGAATTAGGATTTCTTGATCATTCCTAAGCTTC